TTTGATACAGCTTAAAAACTGTATTTTTCCAGTTTCAATTAGTAAGATGAATGTGACTGAAGTAGCTCTAACACTACACTCTCAAAGAATGGTTTATAAATGCATCTATGTTCAGGTTTCCTTGCTCTGACAGCCCTTAATCCCTCTGGGTGGGGCTTTATAGGTGAAACATGAGGAGTCCTCAGTCAACTAAGAACTTGTACAAACAGTGAGTAACAAGAACCAGATAACAATCATGATTATAATCATACCAACAACATAATGAAGAACCTCAGAGGATTTTTTTGGTGTATTTACAGACAAGCAATTCAAAGAACAATCCACAGGTCCATGGTAAATTTTACTCCTGTTAGGAAAAGTGAGTATTTTCAACAAGGTAAGTTTCACTTCATACAAAGACTTCAGACCCACTCTTTGTATGCAATGCTTTGAGCAGGTCCCACAGCACTTGCCCTGCACTTTTACAAAGATCCGCGCCTCACAACCAACCTCTTCTGGCTGTGCCATGTATGAAGACCTCTTCTTTCTGCTGTCAATTAGATTAACTGTTTGCCTGCATTTCACACTGGCTGAATTCCCTCCTTCTGAGGAACCATCTACTCCCTTTACCTCTGCTTTGCTTACCTTTATATTTACCTTTACCTTCCTCCTTGATTCTCTCCAATTAATAATAGACTAGAAAATACAATAATTTAAAAAATCCCTAGAAGTCCCTTGATCATAGCCACCTCCATCCTAGTAATCCAGATTTCAGGGCTAGAGAGAGGTCATCACTCCATGTCCAACTGCTCCTCAGCTTGCTTGGAGGCTATCATGTCTGGTGGCTATGAAGAGCCAGTAAGATGATGCTCACTGTTATCCTGAATGTGTTTGTATAAATTTCTCTGTGAACTAAGAATTAAAAAGGGTTTGCAGTACAATCTCCTCCTCCACTAGACTGCAAGGATTGCCCACTCACAATGGCCAAAAGCTTGTTTCTATTTCAGTTAAGGATCAAGCTAAGTTTTATCAAAATAAATTGTCAGGTGGAGCATTCATCTTTTACAGGCAAAAAACAAACTATCTGCACAGAGGGGGCAAATACATAACTTTTCCATCCCACATCACCACTGTCTCTCTTTAACACTCATCTTTAGAAACCAGTATCTCTGCTCTGACACTTCAGATGTACACAAGAAACCTCCTGAGAAAATGAAGTCTGAATGGAAAACCCCAGAAGAAAAGAGAGACAACAGAAGAGTGAAGCCCAACCAGACTAAGATTCATCAATGACAAACCTGAAGATGAGTCTTGTCAGACCACTCAACCATATTGTCATTTTGTCAGCTTTTTCACTGATAAGGAGAAGGAAATCTTAGCATTAAGCTAAGTATACAGGCAGGACATACTGCAGTCTCTTCTTTCCATTCATCTACCTGCAGATAATTTGTTTCTTGAATTGTGCATTTGAGTACACACTTACTGTGGTGGTTTGACTCTGGCTAAATGCCAGGTATCCACCAAGTCGCTCTATCACTCCCCCCCCCCTCGCTGAAATC